ATAGAAGAGAAAGTGGGAAGTACACTTGAACGCACTGACACAGGAGACAAGTTCTTAAATATAACCCCAGCAGCACAGACACTGAGAGCAACAATTAATAAACGGGATTTCCTGAAACTGAAAAGCTTCTGTAAGGCAAAGGACATAGTTAACAAGACCAAATGACAGCCTACAGAAAAAGAAAAGATCTTCACTAACCCCACGTCAGACAGAAGTCTGATCTCCAAAATACACAAAGAACTCAAGAAATTGGTCATTAAAAGAACAAATAATTCAATAAAAAATGGGGTACAGACATAAACAGAGGATTCTCAACAGAGGAATCTAAAATGGCTGAAAGACACTTAAGGAAATGTTCAACATCCTTAGTCATCAGAGAAATGCAAATCAAAATAACTCTGAGAGTCCATCTTACACCTGTAAGAATGGCCAAGATAAAGAATACTGATGACAACTTATGCTGGAGAGGTTGTGGGGAAAAGGGAACACTCCTGCATTGCTGGTGGGAATGCAAGATGGTACAGCCCTTTTGGATGTCAGTGTGGCGATTTCTCAGAAAATTAGGAAACAACCTTCCTCAAGATCCAGCAATACCGCTTTTGGGTATAATTTCAAAGGATGCTCAATCGTGCCACAAGGACATGTGCTCAACTATGTTCATAGCAGCATGTTTGTCATAGCCAGAACCTGGAAACAATCTAAATGCCCCTCAACTGAAGAATGGAAAAAGAAAATGTGGTATAGTTAGTTACACAATGGAGTACTACACAGCAGGAAAAAATAATGACATCTTGAAATTTGCAGGCAAATAGATGGAGCTGGAAAATATAATTTTGAGTGAGGTAACCCAGACACAGAAAGACAATTATTGCACGTACTCACTCATAAGTGGTTTTTGAACATAAAGCAAAGAAAGCCAAGCTACAAATTACAATCCCAGAGAACCTAGACAACAATGAAGACCCTAAGAGAGACATACATGGATCTAATATACATGGGAAGTTGAAAAAGCCAAGATCTCCTGAGTAAATTGGGAGTATGGGGACCTTTGGAGAGGGTTGAAGCAGAGGGGAGAGACATGGAAGGGAGCAGAGAAAAATGTAGAGCACAATAAAAATCAATAAAAAAGAACATGGTCCATAAAAGGATATATTCATGAACTACACATCTAAGTTAAAATTTGTAAAGGCTTGGTAAGGACATAAAAAGCAATATAATGGGAGAAAGGATTTGCAATGTGTGTCTGACAGTTTATAGGTAAAAAGATAGGAAGATCTCTTGAAATTCAACATTTATTTAAAAACTAGAAAATTGGTGAGGCAAATGAACAGATACTTAAGAGGATACATAGATGGCAAATAACCTTGAAAATATGCACAACATTATTGGCCATTAGGGAAATGGAAAGAAACTAAACTTCAATCTTAACAGCATACCCATGACAGCTAAAGGACTGATAACCAACAAATACTGGCGAGATTGTGGAAAAACGGGTTCATACAGACAGCAGTGGTGAGAGTGTAAAATGGCTCAGCTCTGAGAGAAAGGTATGGCAGTTTCCATTGGTTTATTTAATTTTTAACATTAAGCATATGCTTCATGACACAGCAACTGCATCGTGGGCATATATCTTCCTTCAAAAGTGAGTAATGTTCACACAAAAACGTGAACATATGTTTTCACAGCATTTTTTTAAATATCAAAAGTTTAGAAGCAAGCTTAAAGTCCCTCTGGTGCATGTTTAAACTTATAGATTATTGAATTCTAAACAATAATGAGGAACAACGTTTTTACACATATTAATGGATCTCAAAGGAATTATGTACAGTGAAAGAGTATGTCGAAAGGCCATGCACTATAGAGTTCAATTATATGAATCCGTAGGACAAATCTGCACTGAGGGACCACATCTCAGTGGTTGTAGGTGGTGGAAGGTGTGATTGTTAAAACGGAGGAGTGAAATTGTTCTGATTGTTGTATGAGTTAAAATTCTCAGAATGGAACAAAAAGTGTTTTTGTGTATGCAAACAAGGAATGAAACCTATTCAGTAATAAGCTATTCAGCTACACATTTACAACTCATTCCAGACAACTACAATGACTTTCAGAAGCTCTGCCGTGGAAAGCATCTTTCTTCCCTCTCTTCAGGCATCTAGGGTCAACTTCTTTTGTCGCTCAATATAGCGATTAGCAAGGACTTGGCAAAAATTCAGTTTGCTTTCTGGAACTTTTCACCCAAACAGTACCTTCCCGCCATTTTCTCCGTGCCTGAATCCCTGCCTCAGGGTGTTTCTCTTAAAGTGGGTTTTTAGCTCTGTCTGCCCATACTGGATCTGTGCACTTGTCTCTTGACTGTTCAGTATCTCGAGTCTCCAATTTGTACTGGGTCCCCATTTTTGTCTTTGATCTCCTATCTCAGTTTCTCTGTGTCTCATCTCTGGAGTATAAGTCTAGACTCGTCTCCACTGTCTTTGGGTCTCATAGTGTCCACGTGTTTCTGTTTCTTAAACCGGTACTTTCCGGTCTTTGTCTCCGCCTCTCAGGTTCTGGTGGTCCTAGGCTCTTTTTTTTTAGGTTTCCGTTTGTTTACTCCGTTGTCATGGCATCAGAAGTGACGCAGGCGCACGTGGCAGCGAAGCGGAGCCAGCCTTCCCTCGGATTGACTGGCAAGGCTGTCAGAGCAGCTTCTCCCCGCCCAGGTCTGGCGAACGGCCCCGCAGCACGCTGGGGGTCTCGGTTTCCGGCGCTGCAGGCCGCGTGCTACTGCAGTGGGTCGCCATCGCCGCTCGGTGTTCGAGACTGCGGGAGCCCGCGCTGCGCAGCAGGTGGGTCGGTCCGCCCGACGCTCTCCTACGTGGGGCTGTAGGCATTCGGCTGGTGTGGAGGGTCGGGCGGAGAGATGGTTCTGCCTTGCGTGGACTGGGCCAGGAGCAGAGACTTTGTGGCCCCAAGGTGTTGTGCCTTGGAGGGGATTAAAGCGCCAAGGCCCTTGCGTGGGGATGTGACCTCGGGCTGTTGTGCTTTAATTTGTGGCCAGGAGGATAGGACTGATGGTCCACGCGTGTGGAGCTGTGAAGGCCTTAAGGCTTTTGGACGGGGGTGTGGCACCGGAGCGCCGTAGGCGCCACAGCGCACAGCGAGTTGGGCCGGCATCTTGTGAGTGTGGCGTGGGATGGGGCAGGATCGGGGGTGTGGTTCTGATGTGGCATTGGGAGTACCACTTGTGGGATTGTGACTCGGAAATGCGGTATGCTTGTGTTTTGTCGGGGGACACGTGGGATGGGCTAGGATCTTGGGGTGTGTTTTTTACGTGTGCGGCCGACAGAGGGCGCAGTGCCACTGCTCTTAGATATAGATTAGGGGACTGCAGCAGAAGAGGAGTGGGTGGAGGTAGGTTCTGGCGGGGATGGGAAGCCCACAGAGGGGGAAGATGAGTATGTATAAAGGTTAGGGGAGGGCTTGGGGACCCCTATTTTTGTGCATCGGGCGCGAGGAGCATGGGAAAGTGGGGGAGGGTTCTGGGAGAGAGTCAACTAGATTGAGTGATGACAAGGGGCTTAGAGTGCGGGCATCTTCTCTGTCATGGGGGCAGAGGCCATTTTCGGGCCTCTGTCCAGGGACCCAATTCACGGCAGAGGGCTGTCTCTTAGGTGCTGCCCTGACATGGAGGCTTTGGAAAGGAATAGAAAACATTAGTTTTCCTAGGGCTACCTATGAAGGGGCAGGACAAGGGTGCTTGAGGGTTGGCTTTTACACAGAACAATTCCAAGGTCACAGAAGTCCTTCTTACCCTGTGTCCAGAGTCTACTTGTTAGTGTTTTGTCCCGTTTCCTTGCCTCTTTCTTCTTTCTCCACCACTGCATCTGTGCTCAGTCCTCTACCCTCAGACCTGTCTCCCTCATGTTGGTTTGTATCTCAGCCAGCTTTTCGGAGGCCACAGTGGATGTTACCAGGTCATCCTTCCACATTCTCTAGTGTCCTATGGAAGTTCTCTTTCCTGCTCTGGACCCAGAACGGGACCCCATATTTCAGTGAGCCCTTGTTTCTCCTGATGTTTGGGTGAGGTTTTTTTTTTTTTTTTTTTTTTTTTTAAACAGGCTGGTTTGTTGAAGACATTTGTTTGACTCTGTGTGACCTTATATGAAAATATAGAATATATATTTTTGGCAGAAGCCACAGAAAGCAGCTATTTTTAATAATGATCCTTTGTGTGTACCTTGGCATTCGTTTAAAGGTATGTTTGCACCATTTGTATTTATATTACTATGTGTATGACTACAGGGAAGACCTTGTGACTAGTTCCTGTTGTCCCTGTGAGATTAGTGTTCATGATTATCATCAGATCCTAGTGGATAGAAAAGATGGTATTTTGTTGACAGGGTCTGAGAAGGATTTGTTTTCAGCTAAGGCAAAAGCCTGCAATGCAAATTCCTTAGGTGTTTAAAACCAGCCTTGGGATTCCCCTAGCTCAGCCATCCACCCATCCACTAGATTTCTTTTTTCAGCTTCAACATTTCATGCCTAGAATACAACCCTTGACACCTGCTTGACCCATACTTCTGTCTCCTGAAGCCTGTGGGCTGGACTCCAGGAAAACCCCAAGGCAGCCAGGTCATTCTGCATCATGGTATGCCACAATCTCTTGTCTTATTTGTAGCAGGAATGTGACCTCATTCAGGCTATTTGGTCCCACTTGGTCTTCTGCCTAGTAAGTTCTTGTAGCAGTGTAACCAGGTCTAGGGTCAGGTAAGGCATGCTTAGGATTAAGTCTCTTGAGATCCCCAAAGATGGCCTCATCCTCCTGGTCCTGACTAGTAGGCCTACATTATGAAGGGGGCTAGCTGTCCATGTTAGGCTGTTGCTTCTTATTGTCATAAGAGTCTTCTTTTCAGGCAAAGGAAATGGGGACAGACGATTCTTGCTTATTTCCAGGTGAACAAGGTCCTCCACTGACTAGGCTATAGGCTTACTGTGCTTCTACTTGATCCTTTCTGTTGCAGGTCCCCATACCTCTTCCGTGGTCGCAGCAGGACAGGTGGAGGAGGAGACAGGTCTCACACAGTTGACTGAGGGCTGCTGGGCCACCCTAAAAGAAGCAGAGGTAATGGTTATGTGGTGACCACAGTGGTGAAGCAGATGTGGGGAGAACCAATCAGAAGCTCCAGGCAGGGAGGACTTCATGAGGAATCTGGAACAAGAAGGATAGATGAGCTATGTTAATTTTCAGGTAGAGTCCAGAGCCCAGTTCTCACCTAGTCTGTGAATGGTTTCCTTGCCTACATTTTGGGTTTGCTCTTTATCTCTACCCTTAGAAGCTTAGAAGATTCTGACAATCTGAAGACGATGAGTTTCCAGCAGGGCCTGGTAGGGAGAACCTTTGTGTGTGTACATCTTAGTAAGTTCACAGTACCTCTGTGGACACTTTCTGTGTAGGACAAATGTTCCTGATGTGGTGTAAAGAAAGCAAATTTATATGACCACATAATTCTTCATTTGCCACATAGAGTTCTGTGTTCAGAGCCTGGTGAAACAAAATGTGGATATGTTGTCTCACTGGAGCTGATATTACACCCCGTATCAAAAGATGCTCCAGGAGAATCAAAGGAAGAAGATGAGTAAAGGAGAGTCTAGAGTGGAAGATGGCAGATCAGCTTGGAGGCCAGCTGGGAGGAAGCTGTGTAGAAACATGTCAGGGTGTGTGTAGGGCTCTGGCTGCCTTGCTATACAGGACAGAGGTGAGTAGTCACCATTGAGAAAACCTCAAGAGCTTAGACTCTTATCCAAGGCCTTACATTTGCAACCCTTGTTGTAAGAGAATGAGTGAGAGAATGTTTTTAAGTTTGAGGTAGGGAAGGAAACCCAAAGATAAGCAGGTTTTGGAAACTGGAATTTTTTTTTTTAAAGTAGTTGAATTTGATAAGAATCATTAGACAGTAAGTGGTTAAAACACAGGTTTAAAAAAAATGGCAGGATGAAATGACAAGAAAATTCAGATAGGGATGAATGATGGCAAGCTGGAGCCAGGCAGAGCTCGTACCTGACTCCTATGAAGAAAGCAGGCAGTTTACTCACCCTCGGAGATAAAGAAGTCATAAGAAAATGCTAAGTTGTATTGGGTGGGCATTGTGGCCTGAGTATCTTCAGTGTAGATGCTGGGGCAAAAAGGAATGGGTGTTGCCATTGTAAATGGTAGGGGTGAGGATGTCCCTGTAGCTGAGGTATTCTTTTTCTCCACTTATTCTTCAAATAGGTCCCAAACTTGATCCCCGATAGATGGGTATGATATCCTATATTGGCTATTAGGCATATATAACGTGCCCTTCAACAAAGAAATTTATTTTATAAAAGGTATAGTGAGCAAAAACAGAAGTCAAGATACCTTTAGAGTATATATACTGGTTTAGTTTAACAGTCTGTACAATGAAATGTCTCTTTGTACTTAGATCATTCACAGTCAAAAAATTCAAAGGAAAGACAATACCATACATAATCCAGACTCTCTGTATTTTCCTCTTTACATGGTTTATTTTTCTTAAACTCTATTACTTTTCTACAAGTTTATTCTGTCTGTTTAAAGACTTTGTTTTATCTTTTTAAAAACTAATTTACTTCTTTCATAACTCTCTATTCGTTTCTTCTTCCTTCCAACACTGACCCATTTAGAGGTCTTTTCCATCTGGATTAGTCTTTATTGCATATCTGTAATTATTTTCTGACCAGAAGTGCTTTTTTTGGTTATTTTATTGATATTTATTGAGCTCTACATTTTTCTCTGCTCCCCTCCCTGCCTCTTCCCTCATCACTTCAATCCTCCCCCAAGGTCCCCATGTTCCCAATTTGCTCAGGAGATCTTGTCTTTTTCTACTTTCTACTTCCATGTAGATTAGATCTATGTAAGCCTCTCTTAGTGTGTGTATTGTTGTCTAAGTTCTCTGGGATTGTGGTTTGTAGGCTGGCTTTCTTTGCTTTATGTTTCAAAACCACCTATGAGTGAGTACATGTGATAATTGTCTGTGTCTGGGTTACCTCACTCAAAATGATGTTTTCTAGCTCCATCCATTTTCCTGCAAAATTCAGGATGTCATTTTTTTCTGCTGTGTAGTACTCCATTGTGTAAATGTACCACATTTTCCTTATCCATTCTTCAGTTGAGGGGCATTTAGGTTGTTTCCAGGTTCTGGCTATGACAAACAGTGCTGCTATGAACATAGTTGAGAACATGTCCTTGTGGCACGATTGAGCATCCTTTGGATATATACCCAAAAGTGGTATTACTGGGTCTTGAGGAAGGTTGTTTCCTAATTTTCTGAGAAATTGCCACATTGACATCCAAAGGGGTTGTGCCAGCTTGCATTCCCACCAGCAATGTAGAAGTGTTCCCTTTTCCCCACAACCTCTTCAGCATAAGTTGTCATCAGTGGTTTTGATCTTGGTCATTCTTACAAGTGTAAGATGGACTCTCAGAGTTATTTTGATTTGCATTTCTCTGATGACTAAGGATGTTGAACATTTCCGTAAATGTCTTTCAGCCATTTTAGATTCCTCTGTTGAGAGTCCTCTGTTTAGGTCTGTACTTCATTTTTTTTTTATTGGATTATGTGATCTTTTGGTGTCCAATTTCTTGAGTTCTTTGTGTATTTTGTAGATCAGATCTTTATCTGATGTGAGGTTAGTGAAGATCTTTTCCTATTCTGTAGGCTGTCGTTTTGTCTTGTTGACCATGTCCTTTGCTTTACAGAAACTTTTCAGTTTTAGGAGGTCCCATTTATTAATTGTTTCTCTCAGTGTCTGTGCTGCTGGGGTTATATTTAGGAAGTAATCTCCTGTGCCAATGTGTTCAAGTGTACTTCCCATTTTCTCTTCTATAAGGTTCAATGTTGTTGGCTTTATGTTGAGGTCTTTGATCCATTTGGACTTGACTTTTGTGCATGGTGATAGATATGGATCTATTTTCATTTTTCTACATGTTGATATCCAGTTATGCCAGTACCACTTGTTAAATATGCTTTCTTTTTTCCATATGATATTTTTTGCTTCTTTGTCAAAATCAGGTGTTTGAAGTGTGTGGATTAATATTCAGGTCTTCAATTTGGATTCCATTGGTCTTCCTGTCTGTTTTTATGCCAATACCAGGCTGTTTTCAGTACTGTAGCCTGTAGTAGAGTTTGAAGTCAGGGATTGTGATGCCTTCAGAAGTTCTTTTATGGCACAGGATTGTTTTGGCTATCCTGGGTTTTTTGCTTTTCCAAATGAAGTTGAGTACTGTTCTTTCAAGGTCTTTGAAGAATTTTGCTGGGATTTTGTTGGGCCTTGTGTTGAATCTGTCAGAAGTGCTTCTTAAAATGCTAAGCATCCTTACTAAGACTAAAAACTGCTTTGCCTTTTGGCTCCATCCAGTCCAACACAGCGGGAGGTCTGTTTAGCACAAGCCATGCTCACAGCCCCAGTTTTTTGGCACACAGCTCGTCTGTGCTGCTATTAAGCAGTTTGTAACATGCTGTTCAGAAAACCCATTTAAATGTTTGGCCTCCTGAAAGAGCCAGAGTTCGTGCTGGCAGCACGGCCCAGGAAGCTGCCTTCTTGAAACTAGGTAGGCTGCTGCTGAATCATAAAGACCTCTCTTAAAGGAATCATGCCTTGCTTGCTTCTAGCAAGCAGAGCCCACCCAAGAAAATGCTCTTTTAACCATGCTTAACTTTTGTGTCTAGAATTACTTCCCAAACTCTCTCAGGTTTTATGTGGATGCCGTTGTCCATGTTGGTGCCATTTGTTGACAGAGGTTTCTGTCACACCCGGCCCACAGCTGTTCTGTCCCAACAAAGCACTTGGAGGTCTACATTAATCATAAACTGGTTGGCCTATTTGCTCAGGCTTCTTATTAACTCTCAAAACTTAGCCCATAATTCTTGTCTGTGTTAGCCACGTGGATTGGTACCTTTTGTCAGCAAGGCATTCTCATCTTGCTTCCTCTGTGTCTGGATGACAACTGCAATCTGACTCTTTCCTCTTCCCAGAATTCTTCTGTTCTCATCACCCTGCCTATACTTTCTGCCTGGCTACTGGCCAATCAGTGTTTTATTAAAAACAATACAAATGACAGGGTACAAGACCATTGTCCCACAGCACATATTGGCCATTAGGCATATATAACATGCCCTTCAACAAAGAAATTCATTTTATAAAAGGTATAGTGAGCAAAAACAGAAGCCAAAACTACTGGACCCATAGTGACCTGCCTATAAAGAACCCTGTTCTTCTAGGGCTCAGATTTCAATGTGGGATACAGGCAGTATGCAGATATAAAGTAGTAGGAAATAATATGCCCAAGATGTGTGTGAGAGGACAGGCAGGGAATATGGACCTTGAGGAACCACTTCAGAGTTCAGTCCTGTAAGAAGTGAAAATGGTACTTCTATGGTTAACTGGATTAGGTAGGGAGATAGTGGTCATGTTGTTGATGGTGTTAGCTATGGTCATGAATAGATTTTATTTTGAATTCCTCAAAATTGTTTTTAGAAGAGAAAATGCTTCCATTGTGTGGTTTTTGCCGAGGATATTGCTAGTACTGGGTTTGGGTTTTACTTATTTACTTATTTATTATGTATACAATATTCTGCTTGTGTGGCTGCAGGCCATAAGAGGGCACCAGACCCCATTACAGATGGTTGTGAGTCACTATGTGGTTGCTGGGAATTGAACTCTGGACCTTTGGAAGAGCAGGCAACTCTTAACCTCTGAGCCATTTCTCCAGCCCCTACTTTTTTTTTTTTTTTAGGTTTATTTATGATGGCAATATTTTGCCTTCATGTATATGGCACATGCATGCCTGGTGCCCTCAGAGGTTATAAGAGGGCATCAGATGCCCTGGAACTATGATTACAGATGGTTGTGAGCTACCATGTAGGTGCTGGGAATCCAGTCTGGGTACTCCTTGAGAGCACAAGTGCTCTTAACTACTGAGCCATCTCCCCAGCCCTGAGTTTTGGTTGTTTTAGTGGGAATAACAATGCTGCACCTAGATCCTTCTTGTTTTGGAGCACTAAAGTCCCAATAATACATACTTAGATGTTAAACTGACATAGTTATTTTGGGGATAAATCCAGTCTGTTGTGATGTGGCCTACAGATACACAGTATACACAGTAAGAATGAATTTACTGGTATTGTATGGCATATTCATCTAGGTTTATAAATGAAATTTTCCTGAAAAATTTCATATTCATCTTATCCAAGATTTCTTAAAAAAATCCTTGGGCTAGAGAGATGGCTTAGGGGTTAGGAGCACTGGCTGCTCTTCCAGAGATCCTGAGTTCAATTCCAAGCAACCACATGGTGGCTCACAACCATCTGTAATGAGATCTGGTGCCCTCTTCTGACCAGTAAGCATACATGCAGGCAGAATACTGTATACATAATAAATAAATAAATCTTTTAAAAATTCCTATTATTACCATCTTATACAAAGTTGGCCTTCCTGATTCTTTATTTTTATCTATATAAGTAAAAAGCTGGAATTCTACTGACAGTAGTGAGCAGATTGCTTAGAATAATTCTGCATGAGACTTAGGTATTGTGGGTACATGGTTGTACTCAGACACCCTCCCTCATTCTCCTTTGCCTGAGTGTGCCATGGCTGAGGTCTCACTATGTAGACATCTGTTTTGTTGATGTCCTCTGCTTTTCCTCAGGTCCTGGTATCGTGACCTCTCTTGGGTACCTTGTTATCCTAACCATCTCTGCTGAGTTCTTGGCCAGACACAGTTGCATTTCTGTGGAGGCCTGGGAAGATGCTGCCTTTGGAGAGGGCACTGGCCTCCCCAAGAAGCTCCCCACCTCACCCAGAACCACCTACTGTGCGGCCAGAAGATAGATCCCAACAGGAAGTGCCTGGTCAGCAGGAGGAATCCAACCAGGGGGAAGTAATCATTAAGCAACAAGAACCTAGCCGGCAGGAGGAACTCAGGAGGCAGGAGGAACCCATCCAGGAAGAACCCATCCAGTTGCTGGAACCTAGTCAGAGGGATGAGCCCAACCAGGGAGAAGAGTCCAGTCAGCAGGATAATCCTCTCAATCAGAGGGAAGACCTCAGTGGACAACAAGAACCCAGTCAGTGGGGTGATCCTAGTCAGGAGGAAGAACCCAGCCAGTGGGAAGGACCTGGCCAGAAGGATGTGCCTATGCAGCAAGAAGAACCTATGCAGCAGGATGAGCCTCACCAGTGGGAAGAACTCATGCAGCAAGATGAACCTATGCAGCAGGAGGAGCCCATGCAGCAGGATAAACCCATCCAACAAGATCCAGTTGAGCAGGATAAGTCCACCCCACAGGAAGAACTCATCCAGCAGGAGGAACTTACCCAACAGGAAGAACTCATTGAGCAAAAGCCAATTCAGCAGGATAAACCTATCCAACAGGAAGAACTCATCCAGCAGGAGGAATTTATTCAGCAGGATAAGTCTGTCCAAAGGGAAGAACTCATCCACCAGGAGGAGCCTATCCAACAGGAAGCATTCATTCAAGATGCTTCTATCCAACAGGAACTCATCCAGCAGGAGGAGTCCACTCAGCAGGATAAGTCCATCCAAAAGGAAGAATTCATTCAGCTAGAGAAGCCCATCCAGCAGGTAGGGCTCAGCAAACAGAAGGAAACCAGCCAACAGAAAGAGCCTAGCCAGAAGGATCAACCCAGCCAACAGGAAGAACTCAGCCAACAGGAAGAACTCAGCCAACAGGAAGAACTCAGCCAGCAGGAAGAACCCAGCCAGCAGGAAGAACTCAGCCAGCAGGAAGAACTCAGCCAGCAGGAAGAACTCAGCCAGCAGGAAGAACCCAACCAACAGAAAGAACCCAGCCAACAGGAAGAACCCAACAAACAGAAAGAACTCTGCCAACAGGAAGAACCCAACAAACAGAAAGAACTCAGCCAACAGGAAGAACCTAGCCAGCAGGAAGAACCCAGCCAACAGAAAGAACTCAGCCAGCAGGAAGAACCCAACAAACAGAAAGAACTCTGCCAACAGGAAGAACCCAACAAACAGAAAGAACTCTGCCAACAGGAAGAACCCAACAAACAGAAAGAACTCAGCCAACAGGAAGAATCCATACAAAAGAAAGAACCCAGGCAACAGGAAGAGCCTAGCCAAAAGGATCAATCTAACCAACAGGAGGAATCCAGCCAACAGGAAAAGCCTACCCAGCAGAAGGAAACAGAAACCAGCACTGAAAGATCTGCTGCTGACCTTGAGTTTTCCCGCCTGCGCTTTAGGGAGTTTGTCTACCAGGAGGCAGCTGGACCTCACCAGACTCTGGCCCAGCTTCATGAGCTGTGCCGCCAGTGGCTGCGGCCCGAGGCCTGCTCCAAAGAGCAGATCCTGGAGCTGCTGGTTCTGGAGCAGTTTCTGGGCATCTTGCCAGACAGGGTTCGTCCCTGGGTGGTAGCCCAGTATCCTGAGAACTGCGAGAAGGCTGCCTCCCTGGTGGAGGGTCTCTCTGACATCCTGGAGGAGCCAGGTGAGGCTGCCACCCCAGAAGAAAGCATGCCTTAGAGGAGACGGGCAGGAGGTCCTGGAAGGACTGGAATCTGCAACATAGAGTTCAGACCCCAGCTGTGGCATTCCTGAGAGTGTAGTCACCCCATGTGTTAAGGGGCACAGAAACAACCATCCCTGAGCTGGTAAGGGAGCTCCTCAGTCTCCAGGGATCCAAGCCCCCACATCTCTGCCCAGTGGCATCTCCATCAGGCTTACCTCATGGACTAGGACAGCTGCCTTGGGTTCCTGCCCTCACATTTGCATTCCAGATGTTAGGAAGGAGGCGAAATGGAGGGCAATCAAAGGCAGGTACCAGGCTCTTAAAAACTAGGTAAATATTCTGGGTGCATTGGTAGCTGGAGGTTTCCTCCATGTCTAAGGGTGGGGCCTGAGAGATGGGTGGTGATGGTGTCTGGGAGCCTAGGGGCTTGGGTCATACCTTGGGTCCATACCTGGCCCATTGTGGATTTGCTGTGTGGTTGTTAGCATGTCTCAACCTATTGGAGTCACTATTGCCTTGATTATACACAGGAATGATGTTGTGTTCCCCGGGTGGGTCATCATCTTCATTCAGCGAGGGAGACTATGAGAGGTGTCCTGAGCCCCTGCTGCTACCACGTGGGTTGTTGGGTCCCAGCAGAGACCTAAGACCTAGGGACATCCTTGTACGCCGTGATACGTGTAAGTAGCAGCAGTTCTCTAACCTCACCTGGCCTTCATGAAGGAGATAGATGGGAAAGGGAGGATGTGGTGGAGGTGCCATAAACCAGGGAGAGGTTAGGCAGCAAGGCATGGATGTCTACTGTAGTTGGGACTTGTTTCTGTAGGTTAATGTGTATGTTAGATGTGTTATTTTTTTTTTAATTATTTTTTTTGCTCAACTTGTCATGCAAATTTTGTCAGCCTTACCTGGTTATTAACCAAGAAATAATTTCATTGTAGATATGTTTTAATGCCAGCATGGGAGTGTGCCCATTAGCAGCATAAGGCTCTGGGTTAAAACCTCAGTACTGCCAAAAAAGTTTTCTTTGTCTTTACCCAATCCTGGAGGGTGTCCTTTCATGTCTTTCTCCACATACACATGTGTACAGAAGGTCTGTAGGACCATGGTGTACTTGCGCCCTCATATCTTTTGTTTTTATCAAGCTAAATATTTTTCTCCACTTCTCTCTCTTCCTGCCCCCTCTACTTCTACCCTCTCCCATGATCCCTATGCTCCCAGTTTACTCAGGAGATCTTGTCTTTTTCTACTTCCTATGTTGATTAGTTGTGCCCTCACATTTGTTACTCAAATAGGGCAGCTGTGGTCAAAGTTTTGGCTCCTAACCTCTCGGCATTCCACATACTCAGCCTCTCCATTTTGCTTTTCAGAAATGGGCTGCAGCATCATGGCCTTACTGTGGGCACTCTAGTGTGCGTGGTATGGTTTTCTAACAACCACTGGATGGAGGGCATGTATACTTTAACCTTCATGTGATTATCCATAACCTTTGTGATACATTTAAAGCCAGCATAGTTAGGTGCTCACTTGTTCTGGGTGTCTAACATTTTCTACCAGTCTAGTTGGCACAAAAAAGAAGTTTTTCCTTCATGATCTGAATTACTTCAATGGTGGCCTCAACTTGAGAGCTCTTCCTACCTCTGCCTCCCGAGTGCTAGAATGAAAAGCGTGCACCGCCACCCGACTGCCTTGATGTTTATTTTTGTGTCCATGTTGTTCTGTCAGTCGCAGACAAATGTAGTGTTCATTGAGCTTTGGGACCTGTGCTAGGTACCAGGAAGCCTTTCTACATTTGTCCCGGGGCCTGTGTGGGAGGCAGTGGGAATGCTTATTTTGGAGACACAGCCACTGAGAACTTGTCTCCTTAGCTCCCCTTCTTCCAGCCTGGCCCACTCTGGAATCTGTACATCTCGATGAAAAGCATTTAGAGGGAGAAAAGAATGAAGAGGCCAACTCTGTCACAGCTGAGCCAAAGGTGAGGAAAGGAGCCACTGCTGGCCCTGGGAGGCTGATCTTGTTCAGCCACGCACATGGTCTTTCCCTTCTGACTGTTTGTTGCTCCTTCTCTCAATGTTAATGTTCTGTCACAGCAAAGGATTATGGACCCAAATATCTATAATGCTACTACTAAGAAAGCTGTCCTTGTGGAAACTCAAGGGTAGGACCTAAGGAAGGGCATTGCTTCAGTATAACTTAGGGTGGGTCAGAGCTGCTGTTGTAGAAACCGTTACCATTTCCACAGGAGCCTCTACAGTCAGGATGGGACAACCTGGACCCCACAGAAGATAACCTGACCAGTTACAGCAAGTTGCTCCTGTCGGGTGAGACACTGGCTCACGTTCTGTCTTGCATCCTCTTCTAGAAGTATTGGCATGGAAAATTCTGACCCTGTCCCAGGAACTGTAGTTGAATCACCAAGGGTGATTTAAATGTTTGGAGCTGAACATGTTTGAAGTGTCTTTGAACTAGGATTTGTTTGCCAAGTTCTCCACTTGTCCTAGTTAAGCTCTCTCTGGGCTCTGGGGCTTTGTTTGCAGCCTTGGCCTGTGAGAACTGAAGTGTCTGGATTCGGAAAGGCCTCCTGGCTCCCACCCTCTAGCACTTCTACTTTGTTGATGCAGAGCAGGGCCTGGGAAATGATTTTTCACTGAAGTTCTTTGCAGGGAAGCTCATATATAGACTCCGGAGGTCTTTATTTTAGTTCTAATTCTGTATTTAGTTTTTTTGATACTGGGGATTGACCTAAGATCTCACAAATGCTTGGCATGTACTCTGCTACCAAGTCCATTTTTTGCTATGTCTTCAGCTGTGCTCCCCTCTGGACATTCTCCATTTCCTACCTGCTCATAGGCAGCCTTCAGCCTCCCATAAGATCTTCCTCTTTGCCTCTGCTGCCTTCGTTAGAAACCTCAGCTTTTCAGGGGCTCTGACTAGAGGGCAGTTTTGATGGTGGTGGAGGGGTACAGAACGGGACAGGGGAATGGACAGGAATTGTCCTAATACAGAGAAAAAGGTAGTTGCAATCTGGGTCCCAGAGACCCAATAGGATATGAAGCCTTTTAGCTTTCTCAAGATTCCTTTACTTTTTTCTCTCTAAACCTCAGGGTGTCAGTTTTTCCAGGCTGGCCCATCCTCCATGCTGGAGACAGAACCAGAGGAACCTTGTGTGGCAGAAGAACTACCAGGAGGCAGCCTCCCAGGTGAGGGTGAGTTAGGTGGTGATGGATGGCGGCTTGGTTGGGCTATAAAGGGTACAAGTCTCTTTTACGGCTGATGGGGCTGCTCACATTTTCATTAGCCTCAGCAGATACACTAGCTTTGACTTTTTCACTTTCCTGTCCACTGTGTGGGGACAGAATGCCATTGCATTATTTCTTGCTGCATAGTGAGCTCCTCTAAAACCTGTTACCCCAAAGACTACACATTTGTAATCTGTCAGCTGACTGAGCCCCTCTACTTCTTTTTGGTGGTTCTGAAGGTGCACACAAAGCCACCATCATTTAGAGACTCAAATCTAGCAATGGTTTCCCACCCACACGCTGCCTGGATGACAAAGCTCTCAGTGGAGCTGAGTTGATGCTGTGGACCTGTGTTTTATTTATTTATTTATTTATTTATTTATTTATTTATTTATTTATTTATTTTTTCCTGTTACCTCTCCAAAGGCCTGGCTTTGGTTTTCTCATAGGTACTGCTGGGTTTCATTGGGAGAATCCCAGAGGGTAAGCACGTACCACACCTCTGCATGTTTCGTGTGCATACTATTGTTCCATTGGCCACAGATGACTCCAGGGCCAAGCCAGAGACTGTGGTTCATTGAAGGCCATTGATATAACTGGATGGCTTACTAAGACTCATTTGGTCCTTACTAGTAACAGACATGTCCCCTGGACCCTCTCATAGTTCTTTGCACTCTCCATTGCCAAGTCACCTCAGCCAGAAAGGCTGCTTCAGGTCTCAATCCACCACAGCAGGAAGCAGGCTCCTCCTCACCTTTCGAACTTCTGACCAGAATAGAATAGAGTTACATGACCACCTTAACCTCCAAACACACTGGGTGTGGTGGTCAGCAGTGAGCTCAGCAGACATTCAGACTGTTAAAGAAGGGCATGCAGATTGGGAGGAAGAAGAAGATACTTGTGATACTGCACTCAGCTGGTGTATGATGTCTGAGTTGTAAAGGGGTTAGGCTGTACCTGTCATTGTTCTTATCTGATGCCCTTTGGGCCTCACACTTGCTTTCTTGATTTCTGCTCAAGTCAGTTTCTGTGTCAGAGCCTGGGAAGTAGGACTGCTCACATTTTGACTTTATTTCAGACAGTACGGGGCAGCAGGAAAGCAAAGGAACTATGTGTGAGGAAGTCTCCATGGGGGAGACACTGATGGAGAGGCTTTCAGGGGATGTTCCTGTTAGTCCTTCGATAGACACTGCCCAGGAGGAACAGCAACCTCAGAAGGCTCTGGATGCTGAGGATGAGGATTCAAGTCCTGCCAGTCCCCAGAGGCAGTCAGTCATCCGGCAGTCAGCCCAGGACAAGGCTACTCCACATAAAGGCACTGGGACAAAGAGGCCTCATCCAGATGATGAGGACGAAGAGGACCCTGAGTGTCCTTCCAGCACCAGCAGCTACAAGCAGTCATTTGATGCAGGGAAGGGGCTCCATGTGGGTGGCCGTGATTCTGGGCAGGACCCGGGAACTTCTGCTGTGCAATGCCCTGCAGCTTATGAGTTTCATGCATCCCAAGGGAAGCCCTATACATGTAGTGAATGTGGTGAGGCCTTTGCATGGATCTCGAACCTTATGGAACATCACAAGAGCCACAGCACTGAGACATGCTATGTGAGCCAGGACTGCTAGGACCCCTTCCAGTTCAGCTTGGCTGTGGTCAAGCACCGTAAGAGTTACATACAAAAAAAGAAAAGCCACGCCCAGAGCCCATCTCTGCCACAAGCAAAGCCACTGGTGAGAGGATTGACAGCTCCTAGCGGGTGGGTAGTTTTCCCTGTACAGCCTGAGGTGTAAGATGAGCGACTGCTATGAGTATCCCGTGACATGACAGTTGTAGTATGAGTGTTCTTAAGGCACATGTGTGGTGGTGGCTTCCTGTGGTATCCATGGACACATCTGTGTTACTTTCTGGATGCTAATGTGCTGAAAGCAACTGGAAATGGGTGTGGCCCACAGGAAGCCCTCATCTTAGAAACATACTTTGGGCTAATGTCCTATCCTGTAAGCCATCAGCTGTGAGGAAAAACTCCATTTCTGCAGTGTTTTAATACCACACATACTCTGGTCATTTGACATTGTACAAAGTGTTACGTTGCCTTAAAGTATGTGATGTTTTCTTGAGCCTTCCTTGCCTCAGTTGCTTCTCCTTGAGCTCCCTGTCTGTTCACACATCTATTTGGCCTTTTTGTAAATATGAATGTCAGGTTTACTTCTGAATCCTCAAGAGTAAAAATTGTTTCTGAGTTCAAGTTACATGTATTTTAATATATGGAGTTGCTTGCAAAGATCACACACACACACAAAAAAATGCTGATTTCAGACTGTGTGTTTCAGCCCACTAGTGAAATTGTGAAGTCCAGTTAGTGGATGACCACTGGCATTATGAAGCAATGAAGTAGAATAAAGTAAGTCAGAATGCATCATGCAGTAAAGGCAAATATTGTTTCGTGAAACTTCTCAGCTGTGTATCATATGAGAGCTGGCTACCATGTTAAATGTATTTATTAGGGGGTATGATCAAAACAGGTTTAAAAATACTAACAAAGGTTGAAGAAATGATCTGTATCTGAACTAAGAACCAAATGTGGCCTACATAGGTGATCTTGAGGTTTTGCTTTAACTTCAGATTACAGCATTGTTTCTGTTGCCTTACTATAAATTTAATTGCCATGCAGATATAGAAAGGTATCTCTGTCAGTGTTTGAGGAGGCAATTTGTGTAACCCCCAAATCAGAGGCTTACCATAATAAAGTATTTATTTCTTCATTCATATTATTGCTCCTTGGTTTTTATTGGGCAGCTGCTTCCTTGAGCCAAGTGAGTCTTGAGATGCAGACACCTTCCCTGCTGTGGCTTTCTTTCTATTGGGACGCTAGGAACATATGGAAAAGTCTGCCCTTTACCTGGAAGAAGACTCAAATCACTTTCACTCACAAATCTTAGAGCAGTGGTTCTCAATCTATGAGTTATGCTCCTTTAGGGGTCTCGTATCAGATATCCTAGATATATATTTATATTACGATTCATAATAGTAGCAAAATTAGTTATAAAGTAGCAACAAAATAATTTTATGGTTGGGATCACCACAACCTGAACTGTATTAAAGGGTTGCAGTGTTAGGAAGGTTGAGAATTGCTGCCTTAGAGAAAACCGATCAGATGTCCTCATCAGCCATAAGGATCCTGGCACTGCCTATTTAGGTGATTTCCTCTGCTAAGCTGAGCTAAATTTTCTTCTGGTAAAAAAGTCTAAATGTGTTTTCCTAATTCCATTCCAAGTACATACCAGTCAGCCTGTTTTCTCCTACAGTCACTGAGATTTTCCTGGGCTACATGCTAGTACTCCATCTCTTCAGTTTCTTTTGTGTAAGTGAACCAATGGAAGGTCTGTGTCTTCCTATTCTAAAGTTGAACTTCCAGGAAAGGCACAAAAATAAGAATATAAAAGGATCTCCGTGCACTCCTTACCCAGATCTGCTGTGACTACTATTCTACCCAATGCACCCATGCTTTGCAAGTGTACATACTCCGTCCATCTTGAGGGTGTGCTATGCCCACGTGCTCTTGTAGTGATACCTGATTTGCTCACCTGTTTGAAGTGTTTAAGCAATATGTGAGGAGATACTCTGTGAAAAGGTAAATATTCTACTCCTAATCAAAATTCTAGCCCTGTATTTATCATTGGCAATTGCCTAAATCAAGTCCTTACCATGAAATCTACAAAGTGATTCTCCCTCCATGTTTATCAGTTGTTCTCAGCATTCTACAAGCTCACTCTCTATTTTTTTCTTCTTCTTCTTTTTACTTTCTTTGTTACTGGAATGGACCATGAATTTCTGAAGCAGTATATGTTTTTCAACTAGATTTAGGTCCAAGAGCCCATTAAGACACTTAAACTGATCTTTCCTATCTATAGTGTTCTATCTATACTCACCCAAGGAAGAAGCAGAGAAAGGATGAATCATGTAACAAAGGAGATCAGAAGAGCTGAACAAAGGACAGCTATTGAATTGCTGTGTCTGGCAACATGGGTACATGTGTCCAGTTAGCACTTGAATGTAGTTTCAATGAACTGATGTGCTGTAAGTGATTAGCACATTAGATTTCAAAGATAGCCTACACCTAAGTTTTATATGTCAGAATGGTAACATGAAGCATACAGTGGTAAATATTAACTGCACCTGCTTTTTGTAGTTATGTAGGTTTGGATTTTTGCTTTTTTTTGTGTGTGGTGGTTTTTTGAGATGGGGGTCTCACAGCTCAGACTTTGCAAAGTAATTGAGAATGACCTTAAATTTCTCATACTCCTGGCTTGATCTCCCAAGTGCTGGGATTATAGGCCACCAACTAGGTTAGTTTTGAAAATTAAATTTTATATTTTTGAGGCAGTGTCTCTTGCTATAGCCCATGCTATCCCTGAGTCTGTGATTCTCCTGTCTCTGCTTTCACAGTGCTGGGATTATAGGTTTATCAAATGCCAGCCCTTGAGACAATGTATGTGTGTGTATGGTAGTTATATTAGAGCAACTTTTAGGTTACCATACAGAATAAAGGGCTTTATCACAACATTTTCACTCACATGTATGGCTCAGTTTTGGTTTTTCCTGTTTTGGGGGTCAAATCCTGGGCCTTGTGGTACTTGCTAGGCAAGTACCCATGCACACCATTGAACCACATTTCCAACCATTACAGTTTTCGAGACGGTCTCACTATATAACCCAAGATGGCCCTGAACTTGGCAGTACTCTAGTCTCAGCATCCCTAATGCTGGGATTATGGGTATGTGCCACCACATCTCACATTTAAAACTTCAGTTCCAAAAAAGCATCCCACAGGCATACCAAAGAACAGAGTTGGAAGACTAAAACATGTTGCACTCCAGGAGAAACTGTAGAATAGTTAGGAGTTTATATCCTAGCACGGCGATTACAAAATAAAATCATCTGATATAAACACTATTGATGGTTGAGGACCAAAACCTTTCTAGCAAATATGACAAGTAACCATTTACAGGTTGTGGCTTTTAGAAGACTACTTGTGGATTTGGGACTCAATGAACTATTGTGGACTTTCAAGTTAAATATAAAAACAAAGTGTTGAAGCTAAATATTAAAATGAGTTTTCAACTGGGCAGTGGTGATACATCTTTAAATTTAGCATGCAAGAGGCAGAGGTAGGCGGATCTCTTGTGTGTTTGAGGCCAACCTGGTCTACAGAGCGAGTTCCAGGACAAACTCTAAAGTTACACAGAAAGAAAAGCAACAACAACAACAATCCCCAACATCCAAGAGCTTCCAAGTTGAATATAAAAGCAAAAGTTTATCACACGTAGTGATGTACTCCTATCAATTAAGAGATAGCAGCAGGGGCACCAAGGAGAGTCCAAGGCCAGCCTAGGCCACATATACAAATTCAAGGCTAGTCTGGGCTATCCGAGACTCAGTCTAAAAAACAAAATACCAAAATAGTAGCAACAACAACAAAAGATTATTGGACATTGAGATAAACAATCAATGAAAAGCTCAGGAAAGAATTAGTTTGTACATTGTAAAATTTCCAAAAAAGGAATTTTGGAGAACACAGGGTTCCAATGTGAGGGATTATTGTTCACGAGATGGTAGCTTAACTGAATAAATCTTCCTCTTTTCATAAAACAGCATTATTTGCATTTCTAATACCCATGTGTTGTTAAGTTTGAGAACAGAATGAAGTCATCTAAAAATCTGTGAGGCTTTTAAATCCGATTGCACATTAGTTAATTGATTGTGTGCTTAGATAGTCAAGTATTAACAGACATTTCATGAAGATGTCATTTATTTTAGAAACATCTTGCTGTTGTATTTTCTTCTTTTTAACTTTATTTATTTATTTATTTATTAGCAATAATTAAAATTTAATTAAGAAGCTCTTCACAATCTATTCCCTCTTCCTGTGGCTGGCGCTGGCCGGCTCTTGGTTGGAAGAGCTGTTTTAATTCCCGTGGTGCCAGTGCCAGAGTCAAGGCTTAATCAGAAGCCACAAATCTCCGCTTAGCTGGCTCCTGCTAATCGCCATTCCCTTCTAAGAGGGCAGACGCACAGTCTGTGTTTAAAGACCTTTCCTCAGTTTTATGATTGTAAATTATGATTCTTCTACCCTCTTTATCAGCCAATTACAGATGTCATTGCCTTTTTTTTTTTTAAAAACTTTTTATCACTTACCTTCACTTTTACCCCTATCAAGAATACAAATATTTGGACCCTAAATTCAGTTTCTGCAGCAGAAACTTAGCTTAGGATTAAAGACAAAGTCACTGACAGAACCCTGGCTTTAAAAAAAGAAAGTGTTTGAGGCTATTAAAAAAACAAATAAAACAGCACATTTTAGTTAAGAATAAGGGAAAGTCAGTTTGGCATTTAATGTTTCTTATAAGCTCAGATGGAGTTTAAGTGCTAATTTTAATTTAGGATATTTCAGATTACAAAAAGGACTAAGAGTGTGTGTGTGTGTGTGTGTGTACATACATATGGATCTAATGGTATATCGTGTGTCCTATAGACTTATTTCTGTAGAAAAATGAACTACAGGCCTGACTCTGTCCTAGCTTTGGGCATGAAGATTAATCTCTTAGTTTACAAAGAGGAAAAACCAGAAAAGCCCAAACCCCAATGTTCAGTAGTTCATTATGAGCAAAAGAAAAAGGAAATAATCAAAAACAGAGGGAAATTAGTTTTTTAAAAGCCACTAGACTAAGAAGCATAACCCCAGCTCTTTAATTATTAAGGGAAGGCCCTGAATCCGCTCCATTATCTTAATTATGTTTCTGGAGCAAACATTATCTCAATGTGATAAAAGATGACATGACACGAAGTAAAGCCGGCAGATGTTACGTGGGTAACAAGCCAGGAGGCCCACATTCTGGTAATTTCTTCCCCACTAGACATGTTCTCATTAATCTGTGATTAATAGGATTTGAGTGTGTAAATGATGATGGTCTATTGTCTGTCTGTGGAGCACCATGGAGGGAGCAATTTGTCAGCTCAGCTTTTGTGCGACTATTTAATAGGAGAGAGAGAGAGAGAGAGAGAGAGAGAGAGAGAGAGAGAGAGAGAGAGAAAGAGAGAAAAGATGCTAATCTAATTGGCATCTGAAGAGAAGAACTGGAGTACTGTCTGTTTGGAAATAGCCCCCATGTAATTCCTATTCCTGAGGACGCAAATGTGAGCTATATGTATCCTTTATGCCTCTGTGCCTTGAAGAGCGGAAAAGATGGAGGGGGCAGTGAGAAAGAAAACACAGCAATAAAACAATCCGTAGAGATCACAAGGTAACGGCTATTAGCCTAGTTATGAGGCTTTGTACATGGTAATGACTTGCTAGGAAAGGGACAGAAGAAAGAAACTATTTTTTGGTTAAAATTAGTTGCCCAGATAGACCCTTCCCCCACCAAAATGTACACTCACATATATCTCCGCCCCCACTACAGATCACCACCATCACCATTACTTCCAACAACACTGCTGTAGTGATAAGAAGGTTAATGATTGGGCATATAAGCTGTTCGGAGCTGGCAGAACGATGTCCGGTGCCATGAATTCACTGCCCCCTTTCCTTTCTGACTTTAAAATCTTCCCGGGCGTCCCCCGTTTGTCCCATTTCAGTTACTCGTCTGTTTGCTGGAAATGAGCAGGACACGGTCTCACTGGGAAGCCCACAATTATTAGTTCACAGAGAGCACGTAACGAACAGCTTCTCCCGGAGCAGGCCCGGGAAGAGAGTGGGAAAGACTAAG